GCGAATAATCCCGATTATTGTGATTCATGTAAGTGTTTGGATGGATGAACATTTAACATTTACGAAAAACACAAAAGAATTTGCTAAGGCAGCTAGCCGTGCTCTGGGTAGTTTAATGAAGAAAGTTGTATTAGCAGAAGGAATGACTCATAGACGATACACTAAACTTCATACAGCTACAGTCGAACCGATATTACTGTAAGGTACTGGAATTTGGGGCACTAAATCGTTTAGTGTCATATGAACTGTACAAAACAGATCCTGTAAATATTTTCTATCCGTTGGACAAATGACCTCGAATGTAGCTACTCGTGGGTATATAGGATGGACAACTTGTCATACAAAACAACGAATACATTACTGTTGGCTATTGTGTAGACTTCTTCGCACTGAACAAAATAAAATATCTGATAAAATATTAAAATTGACATCTATGAGGAAAAAAAAGGTTGGGCTTTTGAAGTTGACAAAATTGTGAGTAGTTTAAACATTACAGATATTGTATTCGACTTGTCGTTTTCCACAAAAACTGTTATGGGAACTGCATGTTATTGAAAAAGTTCGAAGAACTCGACAATACAGAATGGCACTTAGAACTTTTAATGATCGGTGCAATATACATAATGGAAATAAATTACGCACATAAAGACTGTTAAAAGATAATGTAAAATCTGAACCGTATGTTCGCCAAAATATGGCCATGCCTGAAAGAAGTACCATGGATCTGTTCGGTCCGGTGCAATATCCTTGTCCTTTGAAATTAACAGGTACTCAAGACCGCCAATCCAGGCAGAAGGACTGTGTGTTTCTTGCAATCTTTGTTGCCTAGGAAATGAAAATCATTTCCTTCTTGAATGTGAATGTTATGGTGACTTAGGTGATATATATATATTGATCACCTTAACAACCTTAATATTGAGTATAAATTTATAAAAACCATGAACTGTTCAAAAATGACTTTAGTATCTTATTCGCAGAAAATTATTTTTATAGTATATTATAATATTTATAACTTATGAATGTTTTTTATCTGTAGATTTTTTATTACAGACGATAATTATGATGCTTTTTATACGTCTATTTCAACCATAGTAAATACATTTGTATATATTAAGATATTTTTTTTACAAGTTTACAGAGATATGGAACACTTTTAACATGTTTAATGAGCAATGTTTAGTTGTTTTAAATTTGATAATATTGTACAAATATTTTACTGTTAGTATCTCATAAGTTAGATTTTTAAGGCTGGATATTGATTGTTTTATGTGTAAATATTACAAATGTTGTAAATGTTTTATGACAATCAATATGTGACACGTTAATAAATAAATTTGTTATTATTCAATCCCAACGACTTCCATCTCAGTAGACTTGTTGTTTCAATATAAAACAATTTTAATATCACAAAAATGATACGAAAAATAAATTGGGCCATGTTGTTTGGATTTTTACACCAATCTTTTTGTGAGTGAATTAGTGAATAAAAAAAGATTCATATTAGTGAACTTTAATTAACTAAGTGGATTTCGAGATACTAATTAGTTTTTATGAAGACGTAAACAATGTTAAGAAATTTTCTAAAATTGTTTCTAATAAAAGGAAATAAGACAAGATATTAAGGTAATTATACAGTTTCCAGTAATCGTTGATAATATGAAACCATTTATTGTAGTCATCAAATGCGACCTTATTCAAATGATGTGCATCATTATGATTTATATACCGTGAAGGAATTTTAACCACTAATTTAAAATATGATTCCTCTGTCTTCTCTGTTGGACTATTGATAACGCCTTAATTTGATGTTAAAAATATTTATGATGTAAACAATAAACATTAGTCAGATCGTTAGACATATTAACGTCTTAGGCAGTGAATGTATCATCTATCTTATAGACAGTTTTTGGTTAGACATATTGATGTCTTAGGCCGTGACTGTACCATTTATCTTATAGATAGTTTTTGGTTAGACATATTGATGTCTTAGGCCGTGAATGTACCATTTATCTAATTTCCAGTCTTTTGTTACTTGTAAACCGAAATTATATAAGACATATAACCTGTTAATTTTCAGAGATTCAGATAATTTCTTTATGATATAGATAAAGATGCAACTCTTTCTGATTGTTCTGTAAAATTGACATTATATTTTGTGTGCTTATCTATTATGAGGTATTTGTTTTTTTTCTTTCTACTGACCATCGTTCTTGCTTTTCGAACCATTTTATTCGAGCGTACTTCAAGACCCTTTTTTCGCATATGGTTTGTGATTTAATACAAAGAATCATTCAAAAATTTCACTGCCTTCTTTTTCATGACAGGATTAGTAATTAATTAAGTAAATACGGTGGATAAGGGTTTGTTCGTAAGTAAAGATACCATGAGCGCTTTTTCCATTGTGTCTTATTCAAACTATTGTTGTGACGTCATGATAACAGTTCTTTTCATAGTTATATCCCTTTTCATTTAATTCTTTATCGATTTATCCTTGTTCTGCCCTGTTGATATTTTTTTTAATCAACGTGTGATTCGTTTGATCTCAGTTCTTTATTGGTCAAAATTCGATTATGATGTCAAATTTTCGTGCTCTCCTCTGATTTCTTATTGTGACGTCACGATAAAAGGCGACCATGCCTGATGACGTAACATAGAAAGAACACATCTTTTTGCAGATCATTCAAAAAGAAGTATTAGGATTGTCTGTAATTCGACTTAAATTGTTAAAGAAACAGATTCCACAACAAAATATTGTGCAGTACGATATTTATCAACTCTCGACAGTTAAATTTTAAATATTTTAAACGCTCGGCGAGCGTCGCGTTTTAAATTTGAAAACTTAACTGTCTGCAGTGGATAACTCTCGTATCACACTTGGTGCAGTTGTAGAATCTTAAATATATGATCCAAACCTACCATCAATTCTCATACTTTCTACACTTACAAATCCATTAACTGGTAGTATATACCTGGTAAAGATTTCATATTTTGGAGAAATTTCTCTTTAGAAAATCATACGGACTGGCAACACTATTTCTATTAAATGATTATGATTCTTAAAATGTATCCGTATAAAAAGGGACATATTAATATTTATAATCAAGTATGTTACTGAATTTCATGAAAGTAACTTGCCGAATTAAGCCACATCTCGATATACAATCGTAGTAATTTACAAATATGCTTTTGAACAGATGCAATTAATATAAATAATTTAAGAAATAATGTCTTTTTAAAATAAATTAAATTGTCAATAAAAAAACAAGAAAACAAAAAGGAAAGTATAATTCTGATCGCAAGAATATTAAAATAAGATCCAAATAGGAAAAATAGAAGAAGAAAAAACACTGACAGTAAGAGATACTCCCAACATAAACTGCAAGACTCGATTAAACCTCTTAGCCTCCAACTTTCAGTTATTCATACATATAAATAATTCCGACCGTATTCATATCTACTATGCAATAATTGTAACGAAACTTCTTGTATTTCATATCTTGCTTCATGTCAATTCAATGCATCAGAGCAGTCGTGAACTGTGTTGGACTTCAGTACTTACATAACACAAACACACATTGTTTTCATGAAATTTGCTTTGTTGATTCTGGCAATTATTCGGAATTAAGGAATATGCCTCCCTCATGCATAGGTCTGATTCCTTATCCGAATGTGTAGGGTTTTGATATTCATTTTTGTTTACTCGAGTATTTCTGAAGGAACATATATTGTCGAAATGTTCATTTAGTACCGTCAATGTTATTTGTTAATGATTGCTTGGTTATAAAATTATCAATAAGTATTGATCAGATAGTCAGACATATTGTCAGACAAGGAAGATATGTTTAAAAGTATTGATTTGTATTTTTTTGGACTGAAATTCATCAACAGATGTTAACAAAACAAGTTCGAAGAAGTATTTGTATTAAACTGACAGCATGAGTTAGTAAAAGTATATGTATATGTCCAATAGATATATTAAATCTATAATAAATTCTAAACAGTTTAGGTTTTGTAGAATATAACTGCAAATGAGTAGAGAAAAACGAATGATTTCTATAACAACCAAAAGGGAGCAGCAAAGCAGTATGTTCGAAATTCGAAAATTCTTTTTTAATATATAAACGTGGTAAAGATTTTATATTTTGAAGAAATTTCTTTTTTACAGAATTATACGCACTGGCAAACACTATTGTTATACCGTATTGTTATGTCGTATTCAAATTTCCATTGAATGGTTATGATTCCGAAATGTATTCGTAATAAATGAAGACACATATTTGTACTAATTATCAAGTATATTACTGAATTTCATTGAAGTAACATGCCGAATAAGGGCTACACCTCGATTTACATAGTAATTTACAATATGCCTTTGAACAGATGCAATTAATATAAATAAGCAAAGAAATAATTTCTTTTTAAAATGAATTAAATTGCCAAAACAAAATCAAGAAAACAAATGGGAAAGTTCAATTCTGGTCGCAAAAATGTCAAGATAACATGCAGAATAGGAAAACTAGAAAACCGCAGAATAAAAAGAGAAACCGAAAATTCGAAGTCTTAACCTCTTAGCCTCCAACTTTCAGTTATTCATACATATGTATAATTCCTACCGTATTCAGATCTATTATGCCATAATTGTAACGACATTTCGTGTTTTTCTTGTGTTGCTTCATGTCAATTAAATGCATCAGAGGTCGTGAACTCTCTCAATTTGTTGGACTGTGGTCGATACCTCTGCTGGTTGAAGAAATGATTTTTTTCATCGTAAACATAACTATGTTGCTATTAAAAACATTTCTCTGTAGAAAGTAGTGTTATATTTCTATTTTTGTAGGTTCATAGGGAGTACAACACAAACGTCCTTTTCCTTTTGGTTGTCAAGGACGTTTAACACATCCATCATCATCATGCAATTCCCACGTATAGACCAATCAAAAACTCAAAACAGTAACAATCCCATCAGGCAACATAATTTCTTTATTGGTCCATTGATCCGACTCATTTAGATATTTAAGATATAACTATCGTCGTGTTAGGCATTCTCTAAATTACCTTTCAGATAGCTAACATGGAAAAAACTGCTGTGCTCGTTTTAGTAGTGGCAATAACAATGATTAATCAGTATAAAGGTAAGTGATAATTTTTCAGGAATTTTTGATAATGATAAAACATTTTTACAAATATAAATCGATGTAGGCAGAGGTTGTTGCATACATGTAACTCAATGATTGGTTTTAGAAATCAAATTTAAGTACAACTAACATGATTTGTCTATGTTAAGTATGTCATTGCTATTAAAAAAAATATGTAATACATTGTGTTAAATGTTTAACATAAGTACACCGCATACTGCCAGTTTGTAAGACTTCCATGTTTATCAACGGCTGTAGGATAATTGATAGTCTTTGAGGGATATGACTTTGGGGTTCGTTCGTGTTGTTAAATTATTTTGTTTCTGTGAAGTGATTTTGTGGGTTGTTTATTGTTTTTTCGTCGTTTTATTTCTGGTCTGAAAGAGAATAAAATAAGTAAATTTAGCAAAAATCGAAATTACATCTGAAGGAAAGTGTTGTTCAGTATAGTTATTTTCAAATACCAATCAATTTTTTGAGATTTACTATTTATTTTCACGCTATTTTTGAAAAAACACTAACACATTACTGTGTCAAAATGTTCTTCAACACAAATGTTTAGCACATAGTACATTTAGAATTTATTTTATATATGTGAAATAATTGACAGTTTTTTTAAGAATATGATTTTGGGGTTCTTCTTGTTCCATTGCTATTTTTCATGTGAAGTGATTTTGTGGCTTGTTGCTTGTTTATTTTATTAATTTTCGTCGTTTTACTTCTGGTTATAATCTTGATTATCAAGTTGAAGCAGTGATGCATTCAACAAGAATATAATATGTTACCTTTCAAAGATTTTTGTAGAAATACAGGGTTTGATTTACTTATCTCTAGAATAATTTGTTCTAAAATTACAGGCGAACCGAACTTTGCATGTACCAGACGAGATGGATATTGTTCCGATTCTGATAGATGTCCATCATTAGGAGGTTATGTGGAAAAACTAGCTGTTAGGTGCAAGTGTGGTGATGCATGTTGCAAATGTACAGGTTAGTAAATAATTTATTTCAGCAATAATTATCGTAGAATTTCATACCGACCGACATGATTTGAAAACAAAGTATAGAAATTCCATGACATAGATTAAAGAGACATTAGTGTGCCAATCTTCAATCTCTTACCTTGAATTTGTCGAAATACTTAGGATTTTCTAAATTGACTACATCAGCTGTATTTAGAAACCTTTCGGAAATGTTTGGTTTTCAATGCACTTCAACATGTTCAACTTCATACTTTATTTGGCCCTTTTTAATTTTTTTTTATCCAGCGTCACTGGTGAGTCATTTGTAGACGGAACGCGCGTCTGGCGTACAAAATTGTAATCCTGGTATCTACGATTGGTTTATTACATACCACTCTAAGGATGTAACAAGTGGAAATGGATTTCATTTTCTATTCCTTAACAGTTCTGGAAAAACCCCTTTGTTGGGGCGTTCGTTTTATGATTAGAACAAGTATCGGCGTATCTCATATCAATACAAAAAAGTCCAATATAAACAAACTTCACTGAAACATGAAGTAATCCATTATTTCTTCGTATTCGGGTTATAATAAATGTATCTGGAACTGGTTACTAACCTGAGGAATTGAATACATCTCAGTTAATGATGGAGGGTTTTTTTTCCATTTTTACTTTCAAAACTTTATAGGACTGATGTATTTGACTTTTTTGACTTTTTTTCCATTTTTGGTATCTCTGTTTCTTAAAAATATGATTTTGTTTTTCATTTTTTGTTAATTCATCACAAAGCAGTCTCTGCTGTGAGAAATGTGTTAATCACTAATCCGTTTATACATAGACACATGTCCTAATGGTTCTTCATGTATGGGTAAAGGTGAAACCTGTAATGGAATGAAAGATCCAAACGGATGTTGTGGCACCAGGTTTTGTTGTACACCTATGACAACGACACCTGAACCAACGACACCTATAATGACAACGACACCGGAACCATGTAAGTAATTTACATATAGCTTTCACATATAATCAAAAAACTTTAGGTGGAAAATTTATAATTAATTATACTAGATTGAAAAATAGTCATACAAAAATAAATAAAAATATCAAATATCAATAAAAAAAATTCAAACAAATTGGAACGAAAAAAAACCTAAACATACGCATATCAAAGCATAGTAGATGTACTGATCGAACCTCATTAATAAAACATTTTTCTTCTAATGAAACAGACAAAGAAGTCAAAAACAAAATTTAAGAATACGATTTAATTTTAATCGTTGACCATCTCAAATTATTCAAATCAGATCTCCTATAGACAAGACACTGATAGGACAACTTTTAATATGTTCAAACAATATAGTTTCTTAGAGATTAATTAAGTCATCAAAAATGTCAAATCTAAGAATTTAAAAAAATTTGAACACAAATGAAATGCATCCTAAAGAAAAGTCATGGAAAATGTTAAGTGTCAAACGATCATTCATACAGAGCAGATAGTCAGTAAACCGTATGAATAGTTAAATTTAATTGGCATCCTACACACTACGCACCACAAGATCAACAACATACTCTATTCAATTAGAAGATCATTCATCAATTTAAATTTCGACAGACCAATTCAATAGAGAATACATAAATGACATATGGAGTACAAGTGTGACTGCACCTGATGGTCATTTCGACAAATAATTTATCTTCAGTGATGCTTGGTGCCAAATATTTCCAAATAAATCCAAAACTTAATAAAAACTTTGAATAACTGATTAAACAAAAAAGGATTATTTTGTTCTATATGTAGTTAATTTATGTCGTTAGGTTGCTGTTACGTTTTCATTTACCCCTTAAAAAATCATATTTAAGTTTTTTCATTTACCTTTCATTAAAATTTCTGAAAAGGTTTTGATTTAAACAGGTTTTGTATTTTTTGTTGATAAATAAAATTGAGAATGGAAATGGGGAATGTGCCAAAGAGACAACAACCCGACCATAGAACAGACAACAGCAGAAGGTCACCAACAGGTCTTCAATGCAGCGAGAAATTCCCGCACCCGGAGGCGTCCTTCAGCTGGCCCCTAAACAAATATATATACTAGTTCAGTGATAATGAACGCCATACTAAACTCCAAATTGTACACAAGAAACTATAAAATACCTACTTTCTCTACTTTTTTCCATTTGAAAACTGGAAAAAAATGTTTCTTCAAATTGTACAATATTTTTTATTCTTTTCAGTAAATTGGCGATTTTGCAATGAAGAATTCAATTGTCAACATTTGTTTATCTAAAATTTGTAAACTGCTTTTATATGGCTAAGAGCATAGTATGGGAAATTTCTATTATCCAAAATAATTAAGCAAAACGAAAGTAAAATTGTTACCGTAATTGGTATATTTATAGCTTTGTCGGTACGTCTTTACGTTCTCAAACGCCCCAAAAGAATCGACCTCAGGTCATCCATGATCCTAGGTCATAATCACTGAAAAAGTGTACGTCTCAAAACGTCCCGAAAGAATCTACTTCAGGTAATCCATGATCCTAGGTCATTATCACTGAAAAAGTGTACGTCTCAAAACGTCCCAGAACAATCTACTTCAAATAATCTATGATCCTAGGTCATTATCACTGAAGAAATTTACGTCTCAAAACGTCCCAGAAGAATCTACTTCTGGTAATCCATGATCCTAGTTCATTATCACTGAAAAGGTGTACGTCTAAACACGTCCCAGAAGAATCTACTTCAGGTCATCCACGATCCTAGGTCATTATCAATGAAAAGGTGTACGTCTCAAAACGTCCCGAAAGAATCGACTTCAGGTCATCCATGATCCTAGGTCATTATCACTGAAAAGGTGTACGTCTCAAATCGTCCAGAAAGAATCGATTTCAGGTCATACACGATCCTAGGTCATTATCACTAAAAAGGTTTACGTCTCAAAACTGTCCCGATAAAATCGACCTCAGGTCATCCATGATCCTAGGTTATTATGACTGAAAAGGTGTACGTCATAAATACATGTTCATGACAGTTCTATTTCGTTTAATAAGCTCCAAATATTCAATATAAGGTCGTCATCTACAGTATTTTATGAAACGTTTGAAAAAAAAAATGATTATAATCGAATCACGAATATGAGAATAACATGACCTACCCTATTTAATCGGGATACGTTTCAGAAAAAAGTTGAAAATAAACAGGCTGATATTGGTACATATTTGTAAATCATTTATGTAATACGTCGTCTTGTTGACTGTTGACGCGCGATTTTACACCAGTTCTTAAAACCTTCCTTCCTTTATGGGTGGATTCTACATAGATAAAAAAAAATTCGTATAATAAAAAAGCAAAATGAGGATGTTAAATTTGATGTATGCCTTTTTGTGCTTCTTCGTTACATTTGTTTGTTTTTATAGTGATTAAGATGATAACACAATGTTGACTGCTGTACCCCTATTTTTGACCTTTTTACCTATTGTGTCTGTTTGTTTTGTTCACGCATCGTTGTCAATATAATGGAATTTGAGCGACTATCATACAAGTGAGAGGTTTAGCTAGCTATAAAACCAGGTTCAATTCACCATTTTCTACATATGAAAATGCCTGTACCAAGTCAGGAATATGACAGTTGTTATCCATTCGTTTGATGTGTTTGAGCTTTTGATTTTGCCATTTGATTAGGGACTTTCCTTTTTGAATTTTCCTCGGAGTTCAGTATTTTTGTGATTTTACTTTTTACTACCTGAGTGTTTCATCAGCCCCGTAGCTCAATACTTTTGGACTGGCATGGCAATATGGATATATTGTTTTTATTGAAATTAGCTATAGTTATACATTTTAGAAAACCATTTTGAATCAAATAATGTCTCTCTTTCATACACAGCACTGATTCCCTGTTCGGGTTTATACTGGTACATGTTTATGAAAATATTATAGCTCTCAATAAATGTATTTAGAGTGAGGATTTTCAAATCTTATGACCTCCAATATCATTGAGGAGACATTAACTGCAGAAATGCTCACCGTAAGCAGTACAATTAGGTACTGTTAATGTTAATAAATTAAGTTGATAGGATTAAGAGCACGGTATCAAATGTTTTACGGTCATCAGATCATTGTTGTTAACAAAAAAATTAAAAAAAGAAAATACATGAAAGGGAAATCAAAAACCTTTAGTCGAAGAAAGATAGACATAACAGTAGATGTAAGATAAAAAGACAAAGAACAGTAAAAATATGATGTGCTAAAAATTGGATAACTACAGTATTGTTTGTAATGTTGCCAAAATATGTACTATTAACTAATTTTATCATTTTACAGGTGTACAAGACTGTACAGGTGAGTGTATGGACCAGTGCACAGAGTCCGAAATAGAGGTCGCTATTGCTCAGTGCTGCGGATCGAAATGTTGTAGGTAGGTTTAAGTAAACAAACCATATAATATGATTTTCGTGCATACAATGTATCACTCTTGTTAGATAACAATAAATTATACCCAAGCTGTGTAAACACACGTGCATGTATGTGTACATGTAGATATGTACAATGATCGATAAATAAGAAGTTTAATGGGGAGGTCTAAACAGATATATACTATACAGTCAATTCAAAAGTATGCAGAAAATGTAAGATAAGTGGCAGGAACCCTATCCAAAACAACGGCTTGCATTCATAACATCATTTGCTGTTGTCTCTTGTCTAATCTTAGTGTGGTGGTTTTATTAAGGATTTTCTTATCCCAGGAATAGATTACCTTAGCTGTATTTGGCACAACTTTTTGAAATTTTGGGTCCCCAATGCTCTTCAACTTTGTACTTGTTTGGCTTTATAAATATTTTGATCTGAGCGTCACTAATGAGTCTTATGTAGACGAAACGCGCGTCTGGCGTATTAAATTATAGTCCTGGTACCTTTGATTGATAACTATTAGGAATATAGAATTGATTCAAAATATTTGTTAGTCTCCGTTAAAGAAAAATCACATTTGGTTCAAAGCCGTGGTTATTTAACGTTAAACATATTTTAAAGAAACTTGTTGAAGCTTAAAATGTTTATCTATCGATAATGTTTGTCTCATCGATGTATAATCCTTATGTCCTTTAATTAATAGCTGAATCGGGTATTTCGTTCAAATGTTGTGTAGAATTCAATATTACAATTAAAGCTCATAATGGTTTACCCAACTCTTGAACTAAAATAGATTTGGCTCGTTACATTTTCATAAAATTTTACGAAATATTTACTTTGGCCTGTTGACAAAAATATAAAAATTTCAAAATGTTATAACCATACAATTTACGGAATAATTTCATTGGATCATTTAGCAGTTTGATAAACACCTTTTTGGATTATTGAGAAGCTTGTTTTCTCTAGAATATCAGTTTGTACTTAAAACGTTCAGCTGATTTTTAAAGATTTAACTCCATTATGTGTTCTATACCCCCTCACAACTGAATAGGCATTACCTAAATTACAAGGTTATCATTTTAAATCAATAAAATTCAAATTTTACAAATTCCCCTAAATGAAATCGTGATATTTTTTAATTACTCGATTTTCCTGGGTTTTTTTTATCAATTCTTTAGTGTGCTTAAGAATGGAAAAATGTGTACATAGCCAAACTACCACTTTATTAAAATAAACATTATGATAATTAATTGATGACGTGCATTTTCTATATGATCTGTACAAATAACAATAACTTTCTTGGACTACTAATGCATGTTAAATATTCAAGTAATACAAGCTAACAAAATGCTTGATTTTTGCTTTATTTAATAAAAAAACTTAATATACTTAACATTTTGTAATTTTATATTCCATGAATTTTATGTATTTGGTCCTTTTTTATTATATATGTTAACGATACAATCATATAATTTCAGAATACCTTTTCGCTAACCTAACTTTGAAGCTGACAGAAGACAACATTTTGTGTAAAGATATACAGTTATAATAAAAAATATAAGAAATTGTATAGTATTAATAATGATTCAAACCCAAAACGAAAATAAACAAAACGGTTAATCTCGAAATTATCGTAAATGCCGTTTATTGTTTGTCCATTGCTACGTCCTTCTTTGCATTTTTCTCTTCGAAAATGTCATTCCTGAATTCAATTCTACCAGTGGCTGCGTTGTCTTGGTACGTCATCTATAGTGATCTTTAGCCTGTCAACACTGAGGTTGTGAGCTCGATTGCCGGTCTGGGCAAGGTTCGTTTGACTCCAATCTTAGCTGACTAGGTTTGTTAGCTTTCCTGCAGAAAGCCCATGGTTCTCTCCAGGCATTTCGACTTTCTCCACCAATATAAAAAAACTGTCCGCCATGACATGATATAGCCAAGAGTGCTAAAAGTGACATTAAAGACCAAGAAACCATAAAAAAAATTATAGCGATTGTGAATTAAGAAAGATAACTGAGACCTGTTTGATGTACAAGTTATGCCTTAAGTCTCTTCCTGAGTATGATGGATAGTAAAAAGTTATATCCTGATCCTTAAGTCACTTTTTGTGTATAATGGATAATATTATGTCGATTGCAATGTATTCTGACATTCTTATGTTGCACACGTGCTTCTCTCAAATAGGACATCGTTTGAATATTTGAAGCGGTTTGGACACTCAGATACTGTTGTAATCTTGAAGATTATATTTCTAACTTCTTTAAAACATACTTTTATTCCAGTTTACTCTTCAGTTCCAGTCCAATTTGTTGTCAATATAACATAACTATAAACAACTCTCATACAAGTGGAAGGTTTAGCTAGCTTATTAAACCAGGCTTAACCCATCATATATTTCTTGGATAATGCTGGAACCAAGTCAGGAATATTGCGGTTGTTTTAACTTGTTCTATTGATTGATAACGTTTGATTTTGATAGTTTTTATGAACTTCCCCTTTTTGAATTTGCAATTGTTTTTTGAGTTCGGTATTTTTGTTGTATTTTTTTTAAAATAGAAAACCCGAAGCGCTTTTTAGATTTACCTTCATAGAGAACGTTCAATCTCACGTTGGTTCATGTTAAGATGATTTTGTGTTCAAATTCTTTATAAACCATTATTTCAAGTGACATACTTTGATTAGCCATTTTTACCCGCAAGCAATGATTAACACAGTTAGATTAACTAAGAGTTCAGTTCTCAGCTACTGATATAGTTTTTGACATATTTTATGAAATTACCAGTCGCTAATTTTAGAAATTATTACGAAACAAGGTTCCCTCAGGCAAATTTGACCTTTTATGAATTTGGCTATTCCTTTATGTCCCCTTTGGTCAGTTAGCTCCAAACGTTTCTTCGTATGTATACATATAAGAATAAGGAGATATGGTATGATTGCCAATGAAACAACTATTTACTAGAATTCAAAAGACGACGATAAAAGCAAAATTATTGGTCTTCGTACAGTCTTCATCGATGAGAAAAAAAACCATACCGTATAGCCAGCTATAAAAGGCCCGGACATGAATAATGTAAATCAATTCAAACGAGAAAACTCACGGTCTTATTTATACAATATAATTTACGAACCCTGGATTTCAAATATAAAATTGTGAGCGTTCCTGATGAAGGTTTATCCAGAAAACCGCTTCGGAAGTTTGGAATTTATGGTATGTTGCTTTCATTGGATAAAAAATTAACAGTTGTATTGGTTTAGTGTTAAACAATGTATTATTGAATTAACGCACCCGGTCTTTTGGAGTTCATTCGATTTCCTCAGTTTTTGTTTGCTACGTTGATTTGTATAAGTGAGGCGAAATATACCAAAGGGACATTCAAACTCATAAGTCGAAAATAATCTGACCAAGCCATGGTTTGTATCTAATTAATAAATTTATGAATTTGAAATCAGTAAAATATTGTTGACATTTATCGGCTAACGATAAATATTAGTTCAACACGGATTATCTCATGCCGTTTGTTTTTTTTGGGTTTTTTTTTCTCGTACTATAGTAACGTTTGTGGGTCACTCTATTTGGTTCATTTATCTATTTAATTATAAGTAATTTTTAACTGTTTTCTCAGAAAGATTGATTATTATTATTTTATTACTTTCCGAATTTTTCATTCATTAAATTTTAGTGACGTAACAAAACACGCATTGGCATTCAAAATATTTTCCCTTCTCAACCAATCAGAGAGCTCGATTAATTTCCCGGAGAAATTTATCTCGTGCAGTGATTGTCTTCTGGAAATCATTCCCAGCTCAGATTCTCAGGTGTGTAGACGTATAGGTAAAGAGGGAATTTTTCACCATGTGCGCGATGTTTTTGAGGTGGTCTCGGTTAGGAATCTCTCACTCTTTTTGTGTTATATTTAGTGTATTGAAAAAAATGTGTATTTCAGTGTTTTCTAGGTAAGAAGTCCCCCCCCCCCCCCCTTTGATGTATATATTGGCTGACTAAAACTGGCTAGTTTTGGTCAGGGTTTGCATTGAATATTAAAGCTGAAACTTTGAATATTTACGTATTGAGACGTACTTTATTTAGAAAGCGGTTCGCGGGTTAAATGAGTTAAATTATCAGCTGAGTTTTTGAAAAGTTCTTTGAACTGAATAAAAGTTGTCAGTTTGCGAATTTCGAGATTCGATTAACTGTTCAGCTTGTCAGTTGTTTAGGTTAAAGGGGCACTAGCTGTCAAATTCATGTTCACCGATTTGACTCAAATTCTCATATTTGATTTATAACAATGTAAAACATTTATCCAAATTATAAAAAGTCTAGATTAAACATTATACCGGGCATGGGATCGATAATATGTAGCGTGTGCATATTAGTCTAGACGCCATCTAATTAACTGTCGAGTTGTCCTCCTATGTCCTCCGATTGCCATATAAGCGATATAAACATAGATATAGATATAAATAGATATCAGATTCGTGCATTTGGATTTTTCTAGGTATTCACACTAGCGGATTTAGGGGGGTTTGGTGGGGGGGGGGGGGGGGGGGGGGGGTCGGGAACCCCCCGCTTGAAAATCTTGAAATATTTTTTGTGAGCAAAAAGCATACAATCACTTAATCATTTCTTTTTTTAATGTTATCTTTATTAAAAAATGAATATTCAGTGAGCACTTAATTGGGTGACACGTTGTGGCTACACTCCGTTAAATACACACATGTCATAATTACATTGTCCTGGGTGAAAATAATTAGAGGATCAAAGGATTTAATTTAGACCATCCAAGGCTGATATCCTATATTGTATTACTTTGTTGGTTTAATAGTTAAAACGACGTTTTCTGATAGCTTGATTTGAAGAAAAATACTTTCTCACTCTATAATACCCACAAGATTTTTTTTATTATTTTTTTTTAATTCTGCAACTGCTGCGACACCTGCTGACTCTAAGGATATTGCAAACTTTATTTCCACATTTTTACCTAGTGCTGATATGTATAGCATTCTAATGAAAACTGGCAACCACTTATCATAGTTTTTTTTCTTTTCCTAAAAGATGCTTCAAATATGCGTGGCTGCACTATTACCCATGGATTGTCTATTTAACTTCACCGACGGAGTTTACTGCAAATTTTGCGTTTTGTTCGCTACTGACCACAACCTCGGACACAGAATTTGGTAAAGGTATATGGTGAATGTAAATTTCACGGAAACACAGAATACCACCAAACAGCCTTATTAAGAGCATTACAAGACTTTCAGCTCTTTCAAACTCTGAAAGACCTATTTGCGATCAACCATAACAAGAGAGAGACTCAATGGCCTTGTTTTAATGCATATTCATATCAGCACGGAAATTGATTTACCTTTGTTTCACTTTCAATGTTGACATTCTTTTCCTTTAAATAATTGAACACGCACAACGCATGCGGTATCCCTTTCTAGCTAAGGGGTTAAATATTGAAGTTCACATGCATACGGATTCAATGAGGTCGAATTATTCACTTGCAAATGAAGAATTCCTCATCAATATTTCTTAGCTTATTTTGACAAAATTGAACCATACTGGCTGCTAAAGGCGATATTTTAGTTCACTTTCATTAATGTTTGAACAAAAAAATCATATATATATCTCGTAGCTAGTGCCCCTTTAAAGTTATTTTTAGATTGCTTGAAAAAAAGATTAAAGTTCATTATTTGTTGGCATTTTCATACGTGTCTCAAATCTATGACTTGAACTTAAAGACAGAAAAATAAAGTATTAAAACGTTTACAAGCGAGTTTTAAATGCAGACCCTGGGCAGAATGGCAGAGTGGGTCTTTAGAGAAAATTATAGTTGTAAAAACATTTACATTTGTGGTCTAAGAAATATAGAGACTGCTGAATAAGAGACCAATGGGATTACAAAATCATAAATTAATGTACTTTGAGACGCAGCTGAATTATATTGTCTAATAACAATTGTGTGTTATTCAATAAAATTTGTAATTTACTGAATTATTTTATTACAGATAAACGCCTTGTCCCGGGCCTGAGTTAAGTTTTTGTGATTAAAATTAATCCTTGTTACTCCGCTTTGTATAGGAAATAACTTAGACATCAACCCATTCCTCTTATGGTTTGGTATTTGGTACCAGTCTACTCTGAAATTTTGGTATGAAAAGTTTGAGTTGCTGAAATGTGTTTTAGTCATTCCTGACTACAGACCGTTTGGGTATAAGCACTTGCAGGACAGAACGAGTTATTTTGATTCAACTTTCCTTCATTGATTTACCCGCTGGTTCTTATTATTTGAATATTTGGTATTCTTGTTAATTTACTGGCCTTTGAAATTGAGAGATAGTTTTTTAAAAGTCTGACTTAACGTTTGTTGTCCCGTGCTGGAAACGACCACTATTATCAGGTCGGGCTAGTTACATTTTGTCCGACGGTATGTTCCACCTTTATTCATTGCTTAACCCCAAATTTGTTTACATGTAGTAGCTTTCCTCTGAGACCTACTATAGAGATAGATTTGGATTGTTCTTCATATGTAGGTTAGAACT